GGGCCGCCCCGCCGGGGCACCCGTCCCTTCGTCCCCGAGCCCTCACCTGTGCCCAGGCTGAGGCGGATGCCGCCCAGCAGGCGCTTGGCGAAGGCCTCGCGGTGCCACAGGGTGAACTCGGCGCAGGCCTCGGCCAGGTCCTTGGCCTGGAAGCCGTCGTAGACCATGGTGTGGTTGAAGAGCGGGTTGAGGCTCCGCTTCACCACGCGCGTCTTCTGCCGGCTCGCCTTGCTGTCGTCGGGCAGCACGTAGCTGTGGGGACAGCACAGGGGTCAGACTCCTCCCTGTCACCGAATGGTCCCCCTCTCATTGTCACTGTGTCCCCTGTGCCCCCTTACCATTGCACGAAGGTGTCCACGGTGCCGCGGCGCAGGGGCACGAGGCTCTGCGCGTCCTTCACCCAGATGTGCAGCTCGCCCGTGGGGGGCAGCCCTGCACCTGTGGGAAGCAGCAGGGTCAGCACAGTGTGTCCCCCCCACCCGGGGTCCCCCCCGTCCCACCGGTGTCCCCGCTGTGCCCCTCTCACCTTCAGAGCCCGCGGGGATGAACTTCAGCGCCAGGTTGAGGTGGCCGCAGCTGGCGAGGTCATTGGGGCTGACAGGTGTCTGCAGGCGCCGAGGAAGAGGAGGGTGATGGAGGGTGGAATGGAGGTCGGGGGCACTTGGGGGGAGCCGGGACAGGGCTGCTCACCCGGGGCTGGAGGTTGAACCACTCGGGCCGCGTGTTGGCCCAGTCCCACGTGCCCAGCGCGATCTCCACCTCGCCCAGGAAGAGGTTCCTGCCCAGGCTGTCGTGGTGCCACACGGACAGGTTCAGGGTCCGGCCCTGCAGGTCTGTTTTCTCCAGTTTGTACTGCCCAAGGCGGGGACAGGGACACGGTGAGGGTGCAGAGGGGAGAAGCCGGCCCCACCACCGTCTCCCCAGGAGCTCCCACCACCCCAAAGTGCCCTGGAGGGCGCTGGAAACCTTGAGGGTCTCGTTGAAGACAGGGTCCAGGCTGCGCTTGCGCACCGTGGTCTTGCGCTTGCCATGGTTGGACTTGTCTGGGAGCAGGTAGGTCTTGATGTACCTGGAACCCAAAAAACAGAGACCAAGGGGGTGCAAAGGGAGCCGGCTACCACCAAGGGCATCAGCACCACC